TACCGGTTAAATATATACTACGTACATAATATTAAATATTACAAAACTCTACCTCTCTTCTTCACTACTCATCTTCTTCGCTGGTTGTGTGGCTTCCAAATCTATTTGTATTTATTTCACCACATTAGAGGCATGTACACGTTGGTTTATACTATGCACTAGTATAAAATAAATAGTTTGAAATTAGTTGTAATGTTATAAAGAACATTCTTGCAACATGAATGAATGTGCCAAGAAGATCGATTATGAATCTAAAATTTTTGTTGTAGATTTTTGGTGAAAATGCCGATTTTTGTTGCACTAACGTATTAGTCTTATTTTTATTTGTATTTAATTAAAGTGTTTTCATTCATTGTATTTTCACTAATTGTTTTTCAATTATAGAAAAATAAAAGACGTCAACTTTTATCATTGGTTTACCCGGCCCGATACCAAGACCCAATGGATCCAAATATAGGATTAAACTTCAAGACCCGTCGGGTAAATGGGTACAGGTCAAGATCAATTTTTTTAAAACAGGTACGGGTATAGAACACTATGGACCGGCCCGAACCCGACCCATTGACAGGCCTACTGTGGGATATTGAGAAGAAGTTTTTTATTGTTGATCCTTCTTTTTCCTGAATTCAGCACTTTATCCCTATCCTCCATGGTCAAAAACTTGAAGATAACCCATCCCCATGGTGTGGGAGGATTTGGCAGGGTACCTTCCAAGTATCCACAAGATGCTGCATAGGTTCAAGCCACCCCAAATCTCCTCAATGGGTTTTAAGTCTTCGGGTTGAATACAAACATCTTCATCCTCTCTCATTTCCACATGGAACAATTTCATTCCTTTCTCCTCAGCCCTGTTCGTTCTTCACAAATACTGATGTGTAGTCTTTTTCACAACAGGTGTGTCCATGGCCTGGTCTTCGAAACTTTTTTTTGAACAGAAAACACATCATTTATTACTCAAAATTACAAGATTAGCCATCGCTCTTACTACTCTATATTGCTCTCCTAAATTTAAGATAACAATACAAGTAGGAATGAACAAAGTTAATAGTCTCCTCAAGTGCACATCCTCCCTGCATTGTTCTCTTGTTTCGCACAGTGTTGTCAAGTCGTTGCCTAGGCGTCGACTAGTCGGCGACTAGTCGTCCGGTCGTTTTGGAGAAGGAGAAATGCTGTGCGACCAGCGCCTATGGCCGACTAGGCTACTAAGCGCGCTAGGCGACGCTTAGCCGCGACTAGGCCACGCTTAATCGGAGAAAGAAAACCGCAGAATTTGACCTACTTTAATTGACCCGACCCGACCCGACCCAAATTTCATTAATTTTAAAATTTTTTTAACAAAACGCTCCTTCGGCTGCCTCCTGCGACGCAATCCACACACAATCCAGTCGCGCTCGTCTTCCAGTTCCGGCGTTACTTCCGCGAGACCGCGACTTCCAGGCCACCAGCGAGGCAGCGACTATCAACCATTGTCGATTATCTTCCAGCGACTCTCCTCATGGGTAAGTTTTCTTATAGTTTGTTATCATTAAAGTATTTCTTTTAATTTTTTTCTTATTCTAGTATTTTAGTATTTCAGGTTTTTTTTTTCAGTTTAATATTTCAATTTTTTGGTTTTGTACTAGAAAACTAGAATAAGAAAAAAAATAAAAGAAATCTTAAACTGAAAAATTAAAATTTAATTTTCATTGATTTGATTCATTAAACAATAAAGTATGATATACTTTAAAGTTTTAGTTATTTTTATTTTTTTAATATTTCAGTTTTTTCAGTTTAATTTTTCAATAAAGTATTTCAATTTTATTTTCAGTTTAATTTTTCAATTTTTTTCTGAATTTAATTCATATTTTGGTTTTGTATTTCTTATTTTAATATTTTAAGCGTTCTAGGCTCTTGTTTTTGTTTAGTTGCTAGAATGTCATATTCACCAATTTGATTTAATAATTATTTCAGAACAAATGGGAGATAATAATATCCGTGACTACGAAGACGATCCATCCAAAGACCCCAAACGAAAAGCCAGCTCTAATGATCCCGGATGGAAATATGGCTTTTGGCCAAATATGAACAACAAAAATCTGGTGGAGTGCACATTATGCCACAAACAAATTA